TATAAATTTACATTTTATAATATATTAGAAAAAAAAAAGACTTTAAAAAAAAAACCAAAAAAAAAAACAAAAAAAAAATAAAAAAAAAGAAAAAACTTAAAAAAAAAAAAAAAAAAAAAAAAAAAAAAAAAAGATAAAGTGAAAGAAATTAGACTATGGGCAAATAATTGTGAAGATCAAAATAAAATTTTTAACTTCTTTAATATCTTCTTTGGGTTTGTAATATCAATAAATTTTATAAAATTGAATATCAATTTCAAATTAAAGGCCATACAAGAAATTCTATTGACTGTGAATTTGGTAGTATGAAGTATATATATGCCAAATTAGAAGCTTGATGTATTGATCATATAATTGATATAATAGACAAATATGAACAATAATATTTCTGTAAATTTTGAAACCCAAGCTAAAATCTTTTGTGCTAGACATATCACTTAGTACATTATACTAAAAACTACCTGCAATTCAAAAGTGTCACTTCTTTCTGTTTAATCATAAAAAGCCTGGAATCATATAAGCTAAAATAAGGGCTAATGACCCTTGGGATGAATTCAAGTTATTAAAAAAAGAAGCTGATCCACTTAAACTAAATGCTTGGAATGTTTGAAGGCTGCCACCAATAGGTATTCCAGAGGAGAAACAAGTAGATCTTTGGGACAAAATTCATAAATATTGTCCAACTGAATTTCAAGACAAACTCTGTCCAAAGCTCCCAGATGATGTAATAGAAAGAGTAAAAGGGAAATCAAGAGGAAAAAAATAGTGGAAAGTTAGTTATGTGGTTTTACTATGTTAAACCGAAGAATTTTAGTTAATAAAAAATTAATACGTATCGTGCTTTAATTTAATTATTATTAAAAAAAATAATAAGTATGACAATAAAAGTCGTGCAAAAGAAACGGCTAGAAAACCAATTTTTAATTACGTAGATCAAATTTTTCAGGGGTAATTAAAAACCCGACGATAGATGCACCTTAGACGGCCAACTGTACACAAAATATACTTGAAAGCCCGATTGCAGGATTTCCCTTGACGGCACTCACATAATATCACAATTAGTGCATTGTAGATAGTTGAAAAATAGCGGCTAAGACACATAATTGTATTATAGCACATTTCGCTGGGACTATTGAACTGTAATAATATTACTGTATTGACGAAACCGCGCATTTGTCAGGTTTTGTTAGTTTTGTCAGGCATTGTTAGCTGGATCTTGTAAATATATATGTTAACATTTATATCAAAATCTTAAAAAATAGTCGAAAATTACAGGTCACAGAATCACTAGTTTTTGCGTTATTAGACAAAATTTCAATTCATTAATGAAATTGGACATTTATTCGATAAACAAACTTAAAATAATTCTTTATCTTCTTACATTATAGTATTGCACGGCACTACATACAGTATACCTGATCTTTTTCAAAAATGCCAAGATAAATTAAATGATGCCCCGAGAATACTGTGTGAAGAGGGGTTACTATGAAAAGAATATATCGAGATTAATTCTATTGCAGGTGGCCCCTTTCATTTGGCACCAAGGTGTGACCAATCAATTGGTTGTGACAAATAAGTATTTGCTATAGAGTATAAAGTTTATAGTAAACTTATTTGTCGCACAAATTGATTGGTCACACTAGAGTGCCAAAACAATTCTTAGTAACTGGTATGTGCTTCGTAAATTGCCTGTATTTTGTGTGTTTTTGTGAATTGAATATATAACAGAAATATGTAATACAGTCGACTCTCTCTATACCGAACTAATATAAATTTTTAAATTTTTAGTTTATTATTTTCTGAGCTCATTATAAAGACCGTACTTAATATGCAAGTAAGGTATTTTACAATAATTTCGGAAGTATGTAAAGTTAACGAAGTTTATGAAATTTAGTTTTAAAAGTTGATCCCTTTAACAATAAGGAACATCGCTATTATTCCTTTATCTAAGATACGATTTAGCATAATTTATAAGAAAAGCTTTTTTCATTGAAGGAATTTTTTTTTATAAACTATATAGTATGTGTTTATTAGCTAACATATTTGTATTTACTTGAGATCCATTATCATATTTTTAAAGCCAATATTTTCTTATACCGTATTATGTATATTAAAACTTCTGGCCTTTAAAATTTTTGAAAATGAGTTTAAAAGCTAAAGGTTATGAAGAAATGAAGGGAGACGTACTTTTTTGAAAATAAAAAGAACATGGTTTGAATAGAAATAACGTTATAAATAGTGTTTTTGTTTATCACGGCGAATTTATGAAATTTGGCTAAAATTTGGTCACCAAATCCGAGTATTTTGTCTCCAAAATTAAACTTTAGTTACCAAATTACATATTAATAAATCAATACCAAATCCCGAAAAAAAAATTTTTGAACCTCTGATCTAGACTAATAACGTATCTAACCCATCTTCCCTCACTCAAGACGCATTTAATTAGATATATTAATTTATCATAACGACGCACTTTAACCTGGGAAATGTTGATTATCTTAGCAAAAATCAGTATTTACACATTAGTGGTCAAAATTTTTAAATTTTGGGGTATTTCATAAATTTTTGCCGCAATGTCTGTTAAAAGATTATTATCGTTATCATTAGAATTTTTTTAATTGGAGCAAATTATTTGGGCCGATTATTGCGCCGATTATTGCGCCATTAACCTGGCTCACATTCAAGAATTGCAGTGCCAAATTAAGGGATCATCTACAACAGTGTTGTCACTGGAAGACTGGAATCCCACTGGATGTCCAGATTTTTCCAGTGTTCCAGTGGTTCCAGTGAGAAATCTCACTGGAACGATTTTCTCACTGGAACGTATTCACCTGATTGGCTAATCTAAATGTGATTATTGGCCAATCAAATTAGTTAGTTGGCGACTGAGCTTCCAAAGCAATTCAATGCAATATATTTTCCAACACATCTTCTGAAGCTGCTTCAAAATTCTAAAATAATGATTCTTTCTTTGTTCATGTATCTCATTACGATAATATAATCAGTATTTTTTTATATACCAATAAAATTCGTCAACAAAGTCTTTAAGATTATCGCACGATCTATGCCAGATTATCCAAATTATTCTGGTTATCAGAAATGATCCTGTTTATGATCTGGAAACGTTCGTATAAATGGGTAAATATCTGGAGCTTAAATTTTATGCCGTTTAATCTTTGCTTACTATCCCCGACGATTAATTCGAATCGGCCAATCAGAAACCACTGGAAGTCACTGGACGTACTGGAACTTCCATTCCAGTGATTCACTGGAATGGTCCAGTGACATTCGATCACTGGAAGCTATAATGCTTCCAATTCCATCCAGTTAAGTCCAGTCATCTTCCAGTTCCAGTAATTCCCACTGGAACGTTCCAGTGAACAACACTGATCTACAATAGACTTAATCCTATTAATCATATGAGTTGGGTATCGCGATACTTTTCAAAAATGTTGGAATTTACAATTAAATAGTACCCTGATACTATTGTGAGGCCCGGTCGTGACTTGAAAGCCGCTGTGCCAACGCATTTTACCCGATTATGACGACCTCTTACCAAAAATGGAGTTGCCGGCGATATATTTTAGGTAGCGCACCCACAAAAATTTTCCCCTCCCGTGAATTTATAAAACCGCGTTATAATTAGGGTTAGAGCGAGAACAGTGTAAGGTTAGGGTTAGAGTTAGGGTTATTGCTATTAGTAAAATTTCACAAGGAACATTTTTAATTAGGCCGCAGAAGGTGGTTTCTTAATTAAAATTTCGAGTTATTTCAGTTTATTTGTAAAAAATGGTTTCGCTTCGTTTGTTTACGTTACACCTGATCTTGAAATTTGATTTGCCAAAATTCACGGGTGGGAAAATTTTTGTGGGTGCGCTAGGGGGTTCCGGCGATATATCAAATATATTGGAGAAATTAGATAGATCGAAGATAATGAATAAAACTGTTAAACCCAATGTAATAGTTATAGGGGACATGATAGATTTATTCGTTATAATCAGTTTAATCATTTTATTAGAGATAATATACTGTATATACGAGATATAATGATTTTAATAAGTATTAAGTAAAGGTTTATTATAAATAAAGGCGTTTTCGCCTCCAAGAGAAAGGAGTTTTCTCGTTTGCTTCACTAATAAATAAGTCCCAAATCTATAAAATACCTTGCCTATAGCCATATATAAGAATTCAACCACACTAATATACCCCTTGAAACACTAAGTTATAAATTGTCGTTCGTTAAGCCGTTTGTCACGTGACCTAGCGTTGCCGAACGAAGTAGCCGAAGCCTTAATCACCCACCGGCCAAATCTAACACACCTCTTTCGTGAGGCTACCAACCGCAGGTTACGCAAGTTTCTGGATCGTGGAGCGACCGAGTCGACGTTTTCTTGTCATCACACTATTTAAAGAGGAAACTTATCCAAGGGGTTACTATATACAGCGCTGTACGGTACATAAAGCCAAGTAAAAAAAGGTTTTTATTCCTGGTTTTGACATAAAAACATACGTAGTTATCTAATTATACCTTTATCATGTAAACAACGATAAACGATACTATTATTGCCAGCCTCGAACTATAGTTGTTACAAATGTCGAAAGACGAATTCTAAGCCCAAAAAGGCGAACGCAGGAAAACTCTAATGAAAAGAATTCTCACTGACAGAAGGCAAAGCCTCTAGCAATTTGCAAACTTTCAGCGTAAGATGAAGCCTTTGGAACTTTAATAAATCATGAAACTATGAGAAAGGAAAACCAAGTTATTAAATTTGGACAATATAAATAATTCAAAACTTAATGAATAAAACGCCTGATTAGTATTTGTGAGTTACATCAGATATAGAAATCGGTTAGGCATAAAATTAGTTTAGCAACAAATTGGAGATTCCTACATCAGCTTAGTTATACAAATAAAGAATATATTTTTAATAAAATTAATAATTTTAACCTAGTCAATTAATTCTTGATCAAATTGCTTTTTTTTTTCTTTTTTTTTTTTATTAGCGACTACTTGTAAAACATGTTTATTACGAAAGCTTATCTTATATTCAGATCCCTTTTTATGTTTATTGTTAAAATCATTGGTTGGCAAAAACAATTTTCACAATAAAATTTCCATACAGACTAAACACACTAATCATACTGGGCATAATTCAAGTGAAAAATTATTATTGAATGTGTCGATGTTACAATAATATATTAAAAATATATATCATCTAATCAAAAGTTTATTGTTGCTGAATTTAAATTAGCCTAATAATCATCTGATCAATTTTTTTTTATCAGATGTTAGGGATGGATTAGTCCAGAAAAGATCGAGTAAGGATCGGTCTTTATAACTAGTCTTACTGTTATTCGGTCTTAAGTCTTGAGACTAGTCCGGACCGGTCTTCATGAATAGTTAAAATAGCTAATTAAAATTATTACAGCTGATTTGAAAATTAGTGAGACACTGAAATTTACTTGTTTTCCGAAATCTTTCGGATTCTCTTGCGAATCATCTAACTCTTCGGAAATCACATCACAATTTCGGATCGAAGTTCCGAAGACAGTGACGTGTTTCCGAAGAGTTAGATGACGCATAAGACGAATTCGAAAGGTTTCGGGAAACAAGTAAAATTTTTAAGTGTCCCACTAACTTTCAAATCAACTGTAAATGAACAGGAGGAACCGTTGATGTTACACAACTGATTTTACACACGGCGTGAAACACATAAAAAAATTATTTTACAATACTTGATCGGACTTGATCAGTCAGCTAGTACA